CTCCATATCCACAATCCCATTAATACAAGTCTGAAAATTAAAAATAAGTGTGTAATTTATACTCATTTCCTTATCTCCAAGTATTCCAAACTATTTTTAAAGAATTATTTGTTTAATTTTGTTTATTTATTCATTCATTTATTCTGACCAGAGAGAGAGAGAGAGAAAGAGAAAGTGAGATGGGGACCAGCAGTTAGTGTCATGGCTATGTCGCTGGACTTCCATGTAGTCGACTGCGGTTCAAGTCCCAGACTCAGTGGCTTAAACTCATGCTGGGCGCATGTGCATGTGTGCCCAAGATCCCGAGAGGAGAAGGGATTGCAACGTGACTATCCCACCTGGAGGATGATTTCTCACTTTCTGTCTCTCTGTCTCTCTGTCTTTCTGGCAAGTGCACGCACCCTATAGCATAAACCTCTCCAAAACAGTGAGAAAGCAAGCCACCAGGTGCTGGACTCAAATGATAACTGGCCATGTGGGAGTGTTCAGTACCTTAACCACCACACCTCCTGCTGGCCCCCTCCAAACTATTTTTAACAGACATATTTAAAGGAGGATTCAATCAAAATTCCCACATTATATTTGAATGTCATATTATTTAAGTTCTCTTAATTCTAGAATTGCCTTAAAGGAAGACATTTATACCCAACTGAACTGTCCTTCACATATGAGGACACTCAGAAACATCTTTAGATATAGTGACTTGAGGGTCATGTAACCCACAAACCTTCAGATAAATGAATGTAGCCTCAATTAGCTTTACTGATTCATTTGTTTCCAGCAGAACAGTAAGCATCATATTTTACGAGGGCTGAGTGTCTTTAGTGATGATTATCCTTCCCCTTCTTCTTTTCCACTCAGTGGTCACATTTTAGGATCAGTGTGAAACACAACTGAGATATATTAATTTGTCTTCTTAGATAAAAAGTTTGGACAGAAAGCACTGGAACTGGAAGCACTTGATGTGACGTTAATTCTGGCCAGGAAAAACCTGTCCCATAGTCATAACCTCCTCCACTGTCTCTGGGCTCTGCGTGTGTTTGCCTCCAGAGGTAAGTAACTCTTTGAGGCTCCCTGGGTTGACTTCCAGACCTGTGCTGGATGACTGAATCTGTGTAGTATTGTGTTTGGAAGGAGGGTGTGGGTTGGGGGACCTTTGTGGTCTAGATCTCAACCAGATAGGAACAACCCAATTAAAAAAAATTGTTCTACAATCTAGAGATTGTAGAAATAAATAGTTATTTCTCATCTCTTCCTTAGCTGGGTAGAACTCCTGAGCTTGTTTCTAGAGATAGACTTTAATATAATTTTTCTTGGAAGCTACACACTATAGCATTCTAGGTGCCTCTGATGGTACTAGAAAGTGGATAAAGACCTATGGCAAGAGAAGAGCAGACTTTATTCTCCCCCTTAAATATTCCAGGCACAGTGGTATGTATGTTACATCTGTCAAGAATGACCTTCACATCACAACCCCCACCCCACCCCTACTATATTCTTGAAGTTATTGATTGTTGACAATATCCTTTCCATTTTTTTTTTTTTTTAGACAGAGATTTTTGCTATAGGGTGCTTATGCTCTCCAGAGAGTCAGAGAGAGATGAGAGACAGAAAGTGAGAAATCACCTCCTGGGGGAATGGCCATAACACAGTCCTTCTCATCCATTTTTTTCTTGGGATTTTAAGCACACACACACATGTTCCTGGTGTGAGTTTTAAGGTACCAGTTCTGGAACTCAAACCATGGTCAACTACAGGGGAGTCCAGTGATGTAACCATTATGCTATGTGCTGCTCCCCCTTTTCCAATTTTTTTTAACCTCATAATTCTTTTCTTTTCTTTTTTGGGCGGAGGAGGGGAGAGGTTTTTGCTATAGGGCGCGTGTGCTCGCCGGACAGATAGAGAGAGACAGAGAGACAGAAAGTGAGAAATCACCCCCCAGGGGGGATGGTCATGCCGCAATCCCTTCTCCTCCATTCTCCTCTCGGGATCTTGGGCACGCACGCACACGTGCCTGGCATGAGTTTTAAGCCACCTGGCCCGGGATGCGAACCGTGGTCGACTACATGGAAGTCCAGCGACATAACCATTACGGGCTAACTGCTGGTTCCATAACCTCATAATTCTTTTCAACAGAGTCCTCTAAGATGTTGATTGATACTTATTTGTCATCTGCTAATTTGGATTACTTCTACTTATCATAACAATCCTGTATTTAGGCCACAATTTTATAGCTAAGAAAAAAAAAAAGCAGCTTAGAAGAGTGAAGTAATTGTTTGAATTCATAAAGATAAAAAGGCATAAGGGCTACATTTCTAACTCCAAAACTCATGTTAATTCTACTCCATATGGAGACGTTTTTTATTAATAGATTATCTTCTATACCTCCTATTTCACATATAACGAGCACAGACTTTCATTTCTAAGCCCCCATCCTGTGGAATGAAAGTGACAATGATTTAGATGTAATATTCTCTGGAGGCGAAAGAATGTGGGCTTAGAGCAAGAAGGGCCCAAGCTTGACTCTGAGTCTATTTCTAATGGATAACGTAACATGGGTACTTAACCTTTTTAACCTGTTTCTTCTTTTATAAAATTATATTAGTAAAAATGATTACTGCTAGTCTGCCATGGCTGCCATAACAAAATACCATGGTGTGGGTGACTTAAACTGTAGAAATTAATTTTCTTCAAGTTCTGAAATCTGGAAGTCTGAGATGAAGATGAGGGCAGGTCTGGCTTCTTCTGGGGTCTCCCTCCATGGCTTGCAGATGAATGGGTCTCCCTTTGTCACCCTACAGTCTTTCCTCTGTCCTGTTCATCCTTGGTATCTCTGTGTGTATCCAAATCTCCTTTTATGAGAACACACATCAGAAGAGACACACCAATTAGAGCCCACTCTAATTGTCTCATTTTAATTCCAGGCACTATCTCTAAATATAGTTATATTCTATAGTACCTGGAATTTAGGGATTCAATACACAGATTTGGCCTGGCCATAATGTACCCCTAAAGAGAACTTGTAGACTCAGTAGATGGGATAAATAAAGTAAATTTCGTGAGTATGCTTTCCACAAAGTGGCTACTCAGCGAGGGTTCATTTCCCTTTCCTGCCCTCTTTTTTCTCCCTATGTCTTTGGAGATAATAGGAAGAATACAGTTACGGGAAGTAAACAGGTACTTTAAAAAAATCTATTTAAGGGACCAGCAGTCGGCTTAATGGCTATGCCGCTGGAGTCCTATGTAGTCAATCGCTGTTTGAGTCCTGGACCGGTAGCTTAAACTCACACTGGGCGCGCGTGTGTGTGTGTGCCCAAGATCCCGAGAGATTGGGGGGGAGAAAGTATTGCAGCATAGCCATTCCCCCTGGGGGGTGATTTCTCACTTACTGTCTTTCTGTCTCTCTCTTTCTGGTGAGCACACATGTCCTATAGCATAAACCTCTCAAAAAATATATTTAAGAACTGCTAAAATAATCTGATTTTCATTCATTAATTCTATTAATCAGCATAGAGTACCCTTAAAAAGTAAGTCTTTCTAGGGAACAATGAGATAGATTCTGGACTCCTTGTTTTACAGATATCTATTCACCCACCTCATATTGACAAATAAATCAGAATGTTGAGAGGCTGAATGGATCTGTACAAACTGAACCCTAGGAAAGGAAAAGAGGAGCTCTGACTTTGTTTAAAAAAACGTTCTCATTAATGAATGGACAGAAGGTGTGCCTGCATTTGGAGCTGGCCCGCAGTACACGATTTGAAGTATCTTATGGTTTCCTAAGCGATAATTAGGTTGAATAAATTGCCTACTCTATTACATGTAGTGATTTCTCAAGACCTAGAAAAAATTCTTCAGATAGAGTTCTAAGACATCCTGGGATTTTCCTGGAGTTCTAAGAATATCCTTGGATTTCTTTTTTCTTTTTCTTTCTTTTTTTTTTTTTTTGTGGGGTTGCAAGGAGACAGCCATTTCTTTATATTCTTGCACCTGTGTTACAAGCTATTTTTAAAAATTATACTGTCG